CGCCCACCTGGGTGCGGAAGCGCCCGGCGCTGGGAGAAAACAAAGGTGTTGTGTTCGGGTTGCCAAACCGCCTCTTTCCCACCCGCCTTCCTCCCGGGAACAAAGGGCCATTGAGGGCGCCGCCCGCCCCAGCCCATCCTCCGGTGTCTCCCTCGAGGTGCGGGGACCAGGGCAGCGTGGGCAGCGCCCTGACCCCCAGCTCTCAGGCTCAAATGCAGGAATGAGCGCCCTGAGCCCGGGGACAGCCTCCCGGGCACCGAGCCCACAGCCGAGTGGCCCGGGCACCGGGCTTGGCTTCGGGACGTTCAAGCCTCTTCAGTTTTCCCGAGTGAACTTTCCTGAGTGAACTTTCCTGAGTGTGCTCGTGGCTGACGCCCAGGGGTGGCAGCCGTGGCCAAACATGACATGTATGTAGTTTCACATAAATCTTATCCAAGTCACAGTTCCTGGTTGGGGTCGGGCTGAAAGTCAGGCCTCAAGGTCACCCCAAGGTCATTGCTACCTACAGGGGCCTGACTTCCCAGGAGCCCACCCCTCCTACGGCCTTTTTTTTTTTTTTAAAGCAAATGGAAAGGATGTTATGTACAATGTTATTATTATTTTTTTATTTTTATTGGCTTCAGAGAGGAAGGGAGAGGGAGAGAGAGATAGAAACATCCATGATGAGAATCACTGACTGGCTGCCTCCTGCACGCCCCACACTGGGGATCCAGCCAGAAACCCGGGCACACGCCCGACTGGGATGGTGCCGTGACCTCCTGGTTCCTAGGCCGACGCTCAACCCCTGAGCCACGCCGGCCGGGCTCCTACGCTAGGGTTCACACGGCTGTTTCATTACTGATCAGCGTCAGTTTCTGCTTAACGCTCCCCCCTCGGCTGCCCCGTGGAGAACGTGTTGGGGTCGTAGGAAGGAGCGCAGGAAGCTTCTGGGGAGCGTTCCCCTCTCCCGCCCCCGGGGCTCCAGGTCTTGCTGCAAAGCCCACGGAGGCGGGAGGATTTTCATTACAGGGTCGGCCGAGGCGTGGCCGGGAGAACGCCGGGCCGGGCCTTTACGAAATGTTTCTTTCCTTCCAGGGGCACTTGGAGCCGATCTCCCGACGTCACAGGCGACCCGAGCCCTGCGCCGAGTGAGCGTCTCTTTGACCGGGTGCCCCGCTGCGGACGAGGCGAGCAGATCGAGGTTCAGAGACGCTTTTTTCTCATTTCTAGAAACTCGGGGGTTAGAGTTTAATCCGGAATCTTAGTGAGAAACAGATTGAGGTGATAGGATGTGAAGAATTAGTCCCGGATGTAATATTATAATCATCATCACACAGAGGAGAGTCCCGAACCCCTCGAGGCTGGTGGGCCCCCCTGGTGGGCAGGCAGGAGTGCCGGCAGGCGCGGCGCATTTAGGAGCCAGTGTGGCCGGTGGCGCAGCTCAGAGGCTGAGCGTTCATCTGTGAACCATGAGGTCACGGTTCGATTCCCGGTCAGGGCACAGGCCTGGGTTGCTGGCTCGATCCCCAGTGTGGGCCCTGCAGGAGGCAGCCGATCCATGATTCTCTCTCACATCGATGTTTCTCTCCTTCTCCCTCTCTCCCTCTCCCGCCCCCCCCCCTTCCCCTCTCCCTCTCTCTAAGACCCATGAAAAGCATGCCCTTGGGCGAGGAGGAGAACAAGAAGAAAGATGCAGACGTGAGCCTGGCCTGCAGTGCTCTCTGCTCTCTGACTGGGCCCAGCTCGGTCCCCTTTGGCAGCCAGGCTGGTGCGGGCCGGGGTCTCCCCAGAAGGAAGGCAGGGGGACCCCTGGATAATGTTTCCGTCCCCGACCGGCCTCACAGCTGCCGACAGGCCGTCCGGCCCAGCAGGCGGTCCTTCCTCAGCCACAGGCCTTGGGCTCACGCCTGCCATGCGTGAGGATCGGCCTGACGCCTTACCACCATTTGCTTGGGGCTGTTTCCTGGCAGTTTTTGTTGTGATTAATCCCAAGACTCAGAGACACAGGTCCTATTTATTTATTTTATTTTTTAAAAATATATTTTTATTGATCTCAGAGAGGAAGGGAGAGAAGGGAGAGAAACATCAATGATGAGAGAGAATCATGGATCGGCTGCCTCCTGCACGCCCCACATTGGGGATGGAGCCCGAAACCCGGGCCTGTGCCCTGACCGGGAACCGAACCCTGACCTCCTGGCTCCTAGGTCAATGCTCAGCTCCTGAGCCACACCGGCCAGGCGAGAGGTCATATTGAAAATAAAACAACCACGGTGCTGAAGTGAGGCTTCTGAGGCGAGGTAGGGTCCGAGCGGACACTCTTTCAGTTCTGCCGCATGTGGCCACCGCCCTCGCCCTCGCTCTCCCGAAGGCAGGTGTGCGATGGGTCCGAGCGAGCAGGAGGCGGCTCCTCCAGCTGCTCTTCGTTTTGAACGCGGTGCCTTCTGTTGAAGTTGCTATTTTTAACAACACATGTGGCAACAACACTCATTCCCGCACGAGCCTATAAAGCTATCCGAGCCCTCAAAACAGAACCAAAAGATGAAATTAAAAAATATTCAGGTATTGCCCGTCCTGTGTGGCTCCGTGGTTGAGCACTGACCTCTGAACCAGGAGGTCATGGTTCGATTCCCAGTCAGGGCACATCCCCAGCGAGGGGCGTGCAGGAGGCAGCCGGTCCATGATTCTCTCAGTTGATTTGGGGTCTGAGACACAGACAGAGGCCCTGGGCAGGACGTGGAGACCGAGGGCTAACGGCTCCCTCCCCAAGTAGCCAGGCAAAGGCAGGTGTGGCTCTATTGAGGGGCAAAGCTGAGTCTTGGAAATCCAGGGACAGTGATGGGGCAAAGCAGGGGACTCTTGGGAAGGCCTGGGTGTACTTGACAAAGGGGAAGACTGACCAGGGGTCGTCACCTGTGCTGCACCCGGGCTCCGCTGCGTCCTCTGTGACCCGGCGCCAGTGAGGACTTGGGGGAGATGCATTGTCCCGGGAGGAGCCCATCTCGCCCTGGGTTCCTGTCTCGTTCTGGGGTCACAGAGCCGTGGGGGAAAGTGACTTTCCTACATCAGTTGTGTCTCTTTTTCTTCTGCTCCCGCAAATGCAGGAGCGTGCCCAGCCCGTGCTTCTGAATGAACAGGCTTCGCTTTGGATCCTACATCGGTCTTCAGGGCGGAGCTTCAGGGTGTGATGCTCCTCCTCCCGCTGGTCCCAGGGCCGTGGATCCAAACGCAGTACCTGCCTCCTAGTGACCACAGCTTGGGGCTCACCTCTAAACCCAGAGATTCTAACGATTTCCCAGGTGCTGCTTGAGTTCATCCTCAGAGCTGGAGGGGCCTTAAGAAGCACCCGTTTCATCTCCTTCACTTTGCAGGCGGGATGTTAACACTTAAAGTCACAGGTGGGGTCCAGGGCTACGCGTCCCAAGTCCCGGCCCATCTGCCACATGGAGCTGCAGGCAGCTTCGTTCAGCCGCGCGGACTCCATGTGGTTCTGCGGCCTTCCCAACTGCTGGGCACGGCTAATACTGTGCCAGGCAAAGACGGGTGCCACCCCGGCCTGGAACCGTGGCTGCGGAGGACGCCTGGGAGACAGCCACGTGGCCTAAGACGGCAAACTCCCAGGGAGGACAGCACAGGATGCGGAGGAAGAAGGACCGGGTTTGCCAGCACCGCCAGCAAGCCCCCGGGAGCCGGGAGTCAGGAGAGAGGCCCGGACCGGTCTCCCTCGCAGCTCTCGGAAGGGCCCAACTCCCCCGGGTCCTTGATCTCGGACGCCTGGTCCCCAGAAATGTGAGGACAATATGTTTCCGTCCCCGAAGCCACTCTGCTGGCGGCGCTTTTGCTACGGCCGCCCTGGCCAACCTGCACGATCCTGTAGGGCTTCCCTGTGCAACCCCTTCCCGCACCGGAGGCAACGCTGGAGCCGCAAAGCACGAGACTCCCGGGGCCAGCGGTCCCTGCGAGGTCCCGGAGTTCCCCGCCACGAGGACCC